TTAATATTATTACGTATCTTTAGTTTTAATTGTAATACGTAAACAGTCAATGCAATAATTAAACGACCAATTAATCACGACTTCTTAACATAAGTACAGCTTTCGGGCAAATTTAGTATCAAGACTTTTCAATTAATTACTTGAAGGTATTGCAGTTTTAAATTAACAGTTTATTTGTATATTACACTTGATGTATTCATTAACTATCTTAACTCAGTGAAGTGAAAATTATGAATGCTAATTATTGATAATGACCGCATTTTGACTAAATAGAATGTCAAATATAAAACGATTTTATGTTTATTTTTTGCATCGAGTGTTCGCAAGTTTAAAATTTAGCTTTGAGTTTCATGTCAATTGATCCTGATGGACTCTTATTTATATTATACTAGGTAAAACCCGTGAATCGACGGTTACTTTCAAGGCATACGCTAATTCTTCTAACTGCGATAAATTGAGTGAAATAATACAAATTTTGAGCATTTAGCATGGTTTAATGAGTAATAAGTGTAAAAACAATAATGACTATTGCGTTAGTTACAAAATATGGTTAATCATTCAACGAATAAAATATTTCCCATACCGTACGACATCGGAGTTATTATTACTACGTTAACTGGTATCCCTTCTTTTGGAAGAACCTTTAAATAGTATTAAAATTGTATTGGTGGATATTTTGTTTTTGAACACTTCCCCGATTTCATCAGTGTACTGCAGATTAATCTATGCTTTTATTTGAGAAAAGATATCTGTAACACATTACTTTTGGCTAAGCCCTAAGTGTGGTACAATCATTAGCCTATCTAATAGCTAAAAGGCATTTTTGGCGGAATTAGAACTCCAGACTTAGGAGACCGAAGCACGACTCTTATACCATGTCGTTCCTCACATTGTTTATACGATAATGTAAACTTGTGTAGTTTACAAACAAATAAACAATTGTTATTGATATAGTGTAAAGATATAGTGTCAATGGAAAGGTGGCTAAAGCCTGGAAGCGTCCAACATTCAAGGCCAGCGATGTTGTGACGGGCCGAAGCTGGCAGCATCGTAGTTTTGACTCCATCCCTTGGCATCGTAGGGATCCACTATCGATTATACCGCCGCGGACAGGACACGGTCCCGTGTACGGTCGACCACGTGGGGACTTGGCACCGTCCTCGTACACACCTCTCGCTTGGCAATCCTCCTCCACATTGATCCAACTCCACTAGTCCACTGTGCCACAGCCTCCGGAATACGCGCGTCGTGTTATCGCTGACCCTACTCGACTCCATTTTATACAGGGTGTCCCGTAAGTAAACAGCCAAACTCCGCAAAATGGTTCCATGGGTCAAAATAAAGAGAAAATCAGGAATAACATTTCCAAAATCACTTCGTTAACCAGATATCCGCCTTTTTGTATTTTTTGCATAAACATTTTGATTTTTGATTTTTTTCAACCGATCTTTAAAAAACTTGGTGTTTAGGTAAAAGTAGAAAAGACCAATGTTATAACAAAAATTCATCTTGATTTATCTTAAAACTTCAAAATGGTGGCAATTTTAATATGTTTAACTTAAATTACTCAAAAACGGCTCATTTTATGAAAAAAATGTCAAGAACATTTTTATTTGGTATTTTTAACGCCCTATCAAACAATACCAAGTTCAACACGATCAAATAGCTGAAATATTACGATTTTTAGTTACAATATGGGGTAGAATACGGCAGAAGCTAGTCAGGTTTGCCCCATTTTACAACTAAAATCGTAATATTTCAGCTATTTCTTATTCGATCTTTTTGAACTTGGTATCGTTTGATAGGGTATTAAAAATATTAAATAAAAGTGTTCTTGACATCATTTCATAAAATAAACTGTTTTTGTTTTTAAGTAATTCAGGTTTAAAAAATTAAAATTGCCGCCATTTTGAAATTTTAAGTTGAATCAAGATGAATTTTTGTTCTAACATTGATTGGTCTTTCCTTCTTTAACCTACATACCAAGTTTTATAAAGATCAATTAAAAAATTCAAAAAAAATGTTTATGTAAAAAATACAAAATTACGGATATCTGGTTAACGAAGCGATTTTTGAAACAAATGTTATTACTGATTTTCTCTTTATTTTGACCCATATAACCATTTCCTGGAGTTAGGCTGTTTACTTACGGAACACCCCCTACTCATATCTAGGGAGATGAGTGCTGTTTACTAATCAGAAGGTCGCCGGTTCAATCCTAACGAAAGTCAGTAGCATTTTGATGGCTTGAAACTACAACCAGCTGTTCATAATTGGATTTACAGTAATTGGCCCTAATTTACGAAACAGCTGATTTAATCTCAATTCAACACTCTTTCAGTAATCTTTGCCTCAAAATACGTGCTCTAGTACAAATCTAATATAATCTATTGTAATATTGCCTGACGGCCATACTCCATAACCTATAAGTGTTTTACTTTTCACAAGAGTTTAAACATTTTTCTTATAGAGAATTGCGTGAATGTATGTTTTTGAAATCTCAATGTTCAGCAATTCACCTATCCTGAGACATACGTCATACGTGCAGTTGCTGCTGATCTAACTTAGAAGTTAGTTGTTGACTGTTACTATGTACCATACGCTATAAGTGCTCTACTTACTCAAGTTCACAATGTTCAAATGTTTATGTATGAATAATCGTGTGAATGCATGTTTTGATCCTTCATTCACGCAGTACTACCAACATGAAGGAAGTTTATTATCGTCACTAATGTTACTATAACATGTGCAGTCGTAGTTACTACCCTGTAGATCGGAGGGGAAGCTTGATGTAAACTTACTCTGCCGAATCATTAACTTGTGTATGCTAAGTTTAAAGATGTACTACGTACAATTTTACGTGTATCATATTTTACAATTACGAAATAACCGTAGACATCCTCCTCTTGATACTTTAAGTTCCATGCTGGCTATGTATACTATAGTTGTCTCTATATAAAACCCTTGGCTGTAGATAGAACTATCCATTCCATGTTAAAGCTATTGCAGGTTTTATAATAAACATGAATGTAGTTCGGTTGAGCCTCCGCTAGAGCGCCCCGTTGTAGATTACCACTTTCCATCAAACACTGAGACTTTTTAACCAAGCCAAAAAGTACAGAGCTTTGTTCACGATTGCATATTTTATGATTCATCAAATATTAGACTTCAACACTCTCTGTGAGCCAATTCAATTGTCTACTTTTAGCGAATATCTCTATAGGGAAAGAGCTATTTACCTTAGGTGGCAGGGCAAGACCTAGGCCCGGGACCGATTAAAGTTTTCATTTTGATGTCCCCAGAGGCCAAATACACTATTCATTCAAATTTGCATATACAAGCGATAAATTGAGTAATTTTACCATAGATTACTTACGTTCGTAGCCGAACTTATTATTTACTGTAACACGGGTAATTCAGTTTAGTTTCATGTGTTAATGGATGGGGGATTATTGTTCAGGTTGTCCAGAATATTTTTTAAGTAACAGTCTTGTATTCATATTAATATCATTGAACTAAAGTTTCCGTAAAATTTATATCATTATGGAGCATGTAATTTGATATAAACATAATAGACTAACATATTATGAACAATGTTCAGTGAGAATCGAATTACAGCCATAAATTTCAGTGTTTCGATACTATCACAGAGATGTAAGTACTAGACTTATATACCCCTGAGCCGCAAACCTGCATAGCCTACAAAGCAAATTTATTTTTGTCTGATTGGATTTTTACTCAAACCATTCCCTATTCCAATAACATTAGATTCAACGAGTATCGAGGATTGCTGCTACAGGGAAGGAAAAATTGTTTCTTTGTAAATAAATAATAGTGTAGTATAAAATAGATCAACATTTTCATTCATCAAATTTGATCGAAAAATATTTGTAACCAAGTAAACTACAACCATAAGAATAGCTTGGGCATTTTAAATGTACTGTACAGCTTTTTTTATTTTCTCCACTATCTTTAATTCTAAAACAACGCTTTATTATGGGTAAACCATTATTTGTTTTTAGCTCTACGAACGATGGTTTTAATGAAAATTGAGTACTTTATGTTTTAAGAGTTAAAATTTGAAAACTTTGACAACCCATTTACCCATTCTCCTGGATCTTGATGGTCCACGAACTTAATGAAGTGTATCAAGTCACACAGTTCATGTCAAATTTCTTCAAAATAGTACCAAAATTGTTCGAGTTATCGTGTTCACGGACATGTACATGCATTTTAACGAATAGTGATTTTGGCCTCTAGGGACATCAAAATTAAAAAGTAAATCGGCCCCGGGTCTAGCTCTTGCCGTGCCACCTACGGTAATAGTTCCTGCTCTATAGAACTATAGAGAAATTTGCTACCAGAGACACCATACATATTATTCTAAGACTGTTTCATCTTACTTGTCAAAAACTCGTAATTTACCATAAATCAATGCTATGACAGTGTAGTCTGTCCTATCATTGATTTATGGTTATCTATTGAATTATGTTTAACATTAAGATTTACGGTTCAACATAAAGTTTTGGATATACTAGGGACTAGGGAAATCGTTACGATGCTCTTGCAAGACAGGCTATAATAATACATCTCCCTCTTTAGCGTAAAAAGATTACACAGTAGCCTACTCATTCAAACCCTTGGCAGATATTGTCGAGTCACCCTTGTAAACATTGTCTAGTCATATGCCTAAACCAGCTGTTTATTATACCATCCAAAGTCTTAACACATTTTTGGGTTTTACTTCAATTCTCGCAGAATGTAAAGTACAAGGTGAAACTCAAGTACAACCGCTACCGACTCGAGTTTCTTATCATTCCTTATGTCGGACACGGGTGATTTCGTCGATCAAACAGGTGTCTACCTGCCTTGTAATCGGAACGGTAAGTCGATGACGGGTTGTAGTGTCTGTGAGGCGGTATTGTAGTGTAAGGACCAATGGTGACGTGGGGGCGGTAGGCGGCGCGAGAGTGCGCGGGCACTGGGGTAACGCCCCCTACCTCATGCCGTGGACCTGCTCCTCGACCACTACATCGACAGTCGCTCTCACACATCCCACTAGACACCATGCCTGTCACTGTCACTGCGTCTCTAGAACCGCGAGTTCACCTGTAACAGCTCCACAGACCAGCGCACTCCACATCACCACAGTCCCGCAGTGTCGTCAGCCTCTGGTCGCCCGCGTCGGATGCGCGAATGACGGATTCGCTCGGTGAGGACGTTTCGCAACCCTCGGTTTGAAAATAAAACTGTCGGTCCGGGGAGAGGAGAGAGCTCAGTGTCTCGCGGTCCGCACCACCGTCACCGCAGTCGGTTGTCTAGTTGATACCAGGACGGAATGCGGAGGGCGTGGAGGAATTGCGGGAGCCTACGCTCATTGGCAGCCCTCCGTCGCGGAAGGCGGGGCTAAGCTCCCGATCGATTTTTCCGCTATCGACGATCGAAGAAAATAGAGAAGAATAAGGAAATAGTAGTGTAAGTGTATGTGAACGGAACGAACTAATGCGCGGGTGAGTGAAGAAGTGCGGGTATGTATCAAGCTGGAAACTACGCGCCGAACGTGGGCTATCAAATAACTTCTTGGCCGTCCCAAGGCTATCAGCACAAGGTTAGACTAGAGTAGGATAGATGTATAGTGTAGAGTGTAGTGTGTAGTGTGTAGTGAGTAGTGAGTAGTGTATGTCAGTAGGAGTAGGTGTAGTGTGGCGTAAGAGACGGACTAGTGGATGCCACTGGCTCCGACGGGCCCCGATACTGATTCTGGCTTTGGCCGGGGCCCCGGATACTAGTACTGTAGTGGTAGCGGTAGTGTATAAGGCGAGGGTTGAATGGCGGTCCTACTGCCAAGCCGCTCGAGCCAATAAGGTATATACGAATAAAAAGCTATTTGACCGACTGTACACAAAATATTGGCAGAGAACGGAGAACGGGTCCGTGGGCACCCAGCAGCGCCGAGAGAGAGAGAGGGGGGCCACGGCCTCTCTTTCGACACTTATTCCAGTCAAAATTACAACCACACATATTCACTTGACCTACGGAGCGCTGGAAGGCTCGACTCTACTGCTGTATGGATCACCACTTAACCTTAGAACATCACGTGATAAAACGTGTTGAAACCCGTGTTACAATTCAAATTCGGATTTCGATTCGACTAAATATCTAAATAAGATAAAACCAACAAAACTAAATACATCAAAGTATTCAGCTAATACACACATTTTTTAATTAGATCGGAGTTTTTTTACACCTATATAGCAAGAATAAAAAGGAAAAAAACTTTAACTAAAGTTCACGCTATACCCCTCAAACAATATCAACGATGTCGTTCTTATCAAACGATAAGAAGGACCACTACCAATATGATTTTTAACATCGAATTAGAGGCTAGTTTTGGAAAAAAACCGTACTGTATTAAAATGTCACACTGCAATAACGAGTGAAAAGTCTTTAGCAATTTCAAATGATCGTTGAAGCCTGTGTTGACAAGTTAATTACAACAACAGTCAATAGTTATTGTAATCAATCGCTGTCTTCTGTGTATAGATCATTCAAAATTCACTGCTTCGTTTTCAAGAAGTTTACTTATACGAATAAAGTTTACAGACTCCTGAAAACTCAAATGCTTAGCTTGAAAAAAAAAATCATCTAGAAGTAATGCAGATCTCAGCTGAGTTCAGTTTTCAATAAATTGATAAGCTTTCTGCTCTTCACTAAATTTACCTCACTTTTCAACTCTTCTACTTATTTTCTTAGGCAGGATGCACACTGGAGAAACCCGTTTCAGGAAACTGGTTTCATCAAATTGGTTTCAAGTAACCCATTTCTTTAACAAATGCACACAGAAGAAACGGTATTCCATCAGTTTCGTGATATGAATTCGGATAATGATTATGGTACCTACTATATTGGTGGTGAGTGGCTAAAGAAAACTAAAAGAAGGAAGTATTGGGTCCATCGTCCACCCGTTGGTTAGGGGTGGTCAACACAGTACGTACATTGTAGCTAATTAATTATGCAGTGATCTTGTAATTTTATTTTATTTTTAAAATGCCAAAGCCTCTTTTTTGAATGTTTGGTGGAATTACTTAGTCCACTAATAACAAAGAAGGACACCAACCGGAGGTTAGCTCTGAGTGCTGAGGGAAAATAACAATACACTGAGAAGTCAATAAAACCAATAGAAACGTGAAACTGAAGCCTATACGAAATCTGTTTTTTGGATTTCATGTAAACCAGTTTCAAGAAACAAATGAAATTACAGTTTCATGCAACGCAGTGTGCACTGCCCTGTGTTAAACTAATCCATCTGTTGCGAGCAACTAAAGTTTCTCGTTTCATGAAATCGGTTTCCTGAAACGGATTTCTCCAGTGTGCACCCTGCCTTAGACTCGAATTTCTATAACGTTTATTCTTTATTGATGCTCAACTCATTGCATAATTTACAACACAGAGAAAATAACTAAAATATTGCTTCATGTTCGAGGATTAAACAAGGACAATATTTAAATCAAGAAATTTCAACAAACAATAAACTCAACCTTTAAAATAATCTTATTAATGCAGCATTTAAAGTTACTCTAACGAGTTAAATTATTTTTTTACGACATGATCTTCAATATGAACACCCTCTCTAACATCGTGATTAAAATATATCGTTGCTATAATTTCATCACATAAAATAATCATAAATCGACACCAGTTTCTTCTTATCCGATTTCCACTTTTTATATAAAAGAGCCTATAATGGCTCAATATTAACCTGATGGCTGGGTAATTATGTGTTTAATAACCTTGAAATGCAATTATGATACAATATTTGGCGTCAGTAGGTTCAAATACGCTTTTTTTATTTTTTTTTATTTATATTTCCCAATAAGTTGCTCAAAATGTGTTAAACTTAAAAACCACGCATTCCATATTCCATCAAATGAATTCTTTAAAATGTGCGAACAAAGTTAGGTAATTACTTATATAAAAAAAAAAAAAAAAAAAAAAAAAAATTATACCATTTCTGTCTTTAAAAGCTTGGAGGTAATATAAAAGATAAACTACGATAGTTTTTTTTTCATTAGAATTAAATATGGAATCTGATAATATCCATAAAAAAATTCCCTCGTAAAATATTATTTATTTTCATGATTCATTTTAATCAAGCTATAAAAAAAATCATCATTTCGAAATTGTATTTTTACGCAAATGAACCCCCAAATATAGTAATATGGTAAAAATCATGATAGAGGTTAAAATGAGTTTAGTATCCAACTGTTATATTTCTGTTTTAAATTTTATTTTTTAACTATCTTTATACTAGGCTATAGTTTTTAATGAATAAAAATCTAGCTGTAATTAAATACCTAAATAATGCATCCTGCGTGGTCCATAATTTCAAAGACGGATTAAAATATTTCCGTTCGTTTGTAATTAATCGTTTCTGTTGTTAATTTCACGGAATGGAATGTAAAATATTATTTAAACACATTAACTCCTATATTTAGGCTATATGTAAATAATAATGCTCGTTTTTGTGTACTTATAAGTCAATCTTTTTTAAGAAACGAAAGTTATAAGTTGAAAACCAATGATTTGTCTTTACAATATACATTATTAATATTGAATGTATAAATGTCACCTCATAGTATTTTCTTTTTATAATATTGACTCCTCGTAAAATCATAATAGTATACTTTATGAAAGATACCACAAAATCATCCTGATTTTATTTACGTTTAATCAGGAAATAATTGTTATTTAGTAAGACGAAAGATGTTCTGAAATTCACTATTTACTGAGAAACGATGGATCAATGAATCATTTTTATATATTTACATTAAAAAATCTGGTCTTTAGTTCCAAATTTCATTAAAATTCGCTGTTTTAAGTGTCTAACTTTTTTGTTCTCAAATGCAACCAATAGAAGTTTAATTTAACATTTTAGTATTATTAACATTTGACGTCAAAATATAATATACAAAAATTACTATAGGTTAAATTACAAGACGCTCATCAGAACTGCAATTGCAGGCAAATTATGGTGGCAATTTTAGTTATTATTTAAATTACCTATTAAGTACAAAAGTAGGCCAAATTTAACATTTGAAATTAGAAATCATGCATATCACACTATAGCCATGATTGTTAAAAAACGGGCTTGAATGTGTTTAGTCAATTTAAAGAATGGAGATTTTTTTTTTTGAAACGGTTTAACTTGTTTTAAAACTCATTATATCCAAACGTAGTCATGCATTTATATTGACAATTCTGAATTTTAAAGTGTTATGTTCCCGATTAAAATGTTTTGCTGAGGTTCTTGTGATTATTTGATAATTTGACATTATTAGGATTCAGTTTGATAAATCTTAAAACAGTATATTCTTCTGTTGAACAAATTTATGTTTTATATACGAATGATTAACATTAAAAATATAAACATAGCAATTAGTTCAAATATTCTGGTTAGCATTATTTATAATCGTATCCCTTGCTTTTTAAAAGTGTTTATATATACTTTTACATACACGTATTTATAGAATGTATGCATTTGCATTAAATTTGATACAAGTAAAATATAATATAAATTTCCTTTTTTTAATCGGAAAACTATATTTCCACATTTAACTAATCTTTTCTGCAATATTTCTTTAAAGAATTGTATGACTATATGAGTTGAATTTATGCTGTTTGAGTTGAATTTAAATACTGTATGAGTTGGATATAAAATTAAACGTAACATAATCGCGAGTTGTCGAAAATAGTTAATCTACTTAAAACAATCCTACATTAAATTCTAGTTATTCAATCGATACTTTGGATTGATGTAAATAACATTTAATTTTGCATTAACAATGTTTCCTTTTCATATGTGATGGACGGGTTCCCCTGTTAAAACCCAAACTGGTTCCTGTATTTGTTTGGAGGTTTTATTTCATTATTGGAATTTTTTTTAATACGGCAATAATTCCTATTTTTGGAATGTTTTTAAAGAGTGGTCCTGGAACAATTTACATATTCTCAGGATGCATATACTTTAAATCCCTGACTTTGGTGTATACAAATAGATATAGTTATTCATAATAATCTGTTTAATATATGATCTTCATCCTAAGTAAAAAAAATGGAATAATGTAACAGCTTTGGTGAATGTAATTTCTTATTTTTCCTATTAGAAATGCTGTGCTCAGATCTATAAAACTACATAAAGCGGATATTGTACCGTAATTATGGTTTTTACCAATAATACATATCTGAATTAAATTATATATCGAATATATCTGGAAATGTCGAATAGCCGGCATTCCATACGTCGGAAGCTGCTTTGGAATATTATTTTATCATGCCTTCTAATATATGTTAATGGATTTTAAGAATTACACTAGGCCTACTTAGGGAAGTTAATATCACATCCATGTGAACTATTAAATAATACTTATTATTCTGATCTCAGTTTGTCCTGAATATATTTTATACGATACGCTTAGCCAACTTTTTGCTCTTTTAATACATTTAAAATAATATTTAATGGTATTGAGAGTAATTACCAAGCTAAAAATATAAAAAATAACTGGGCACTGTATTTTTATCCAATGAAATTTGATAACTTTTTTAATGCTC